TTCACTTGTACCTCCTTCTGTCCATCATTTCCTGGGCGTCATCCTTGACACCCTTACTCTCGCCCCTTCCAACACCCCAGGTATATACTCCCTGCCTGTGTTTCTCCTATTTAAAGAAATCGTTCAGCCATCTGTGCTCTTCAAGTGCTCTTTCTGTCCTTTGGCCCTGTGGAGCAGAGCCGGGAATGTAGCGGACACTCAGTAAATACTTGCTGAACCGAGGACGGAATCCTCGTTTCTTCATGGTAAACATACTGACTTGTCGGCACCAGTTCTCACCATCCCCTGCATCTCACCTTTGTAGCCTGTCCCCACCTGTGTCCCTCAAATGAGTCTCTGAAGTCCAAGGCTGCCTGACCGCTTCCTCAGTCTGCACCATCCTCCCTTTCATCTCAGCAGGGAGGACTTAACACTGCCCTGTCCCTTTCCTCTGTCGGCAACATGGCAGGACCTTCTCCCTTTAATATGCAACATTGCTACCACTGTTCCCTGTACTTAATAGGAGGCCCTGGTGTTGATTCTCTGGTCTCCTCCGCTGTTTGGCTATTTGGGAAATCAGAATCCTCCATGTTTTTCATTTGTTTATTGTTAATCAGGAATCTCTCTTCCCTCCCCTTTCTTCTGCCCTCTGAATAAAGCAACTGCTTTTCCAAGGTTCTCTTCCTGGCTTCATTCTCTCTATCAGCTCATCTATACCAGCGCCTTCAATGACATCTGTAGAGCCATTTCCAAGTCTGCATGGCCGATCTCAGCCTCACTTCTGGACTCCAGTTCTCTAGATTCCAGATGTCCATTGAATGTCCCCATATGGATTTCTAGTAAAAATAAAAATAATGTAGTCTACACTTCGAGAACAGCTCTTTTTTTGTTATTCCTTAAGCAAATTAATTTTCTTGTCACTATTTGTGCCTCTCACCTGCTGTGCTCCCAGTGAGTGAGTTTCAGGATTCTGACATCATCTTTGAGTCCTTCCTTGAATCCTGGAGTCTGAACCTGGCTATATTCTTGAACACTGTCTTTTTCCTATGCCTGCTCTGTTTAGGACTTGACTGCCTCACTCCTGGTCTTTTCAACCCTAGTCTCTCCCCATTCTTTCTCCAAATGCTGACTGAACACCCACCACATACCCCCCTGGTCCATCCTACACACTGATGTGCACAGCAGAGTTTCCTCAATCACTTTCTGATCCTAGCAACACCTGCTCAGAATATTCATGGGTTCTTCATTGGCTACTCAGATAAAGGATGTGGAACTAATACATTCTGAGCATTTGTCGCCGAGCAGGCCTGTGAGGGACGACTTTCTTACCTCTATTTATTATAGAAGGAACTCAGGCTTGGAGATAGAAATTGATGTATGCATGGCCTCATAACCTGGCAGGGGTAAAACTGGGATTTTACTCTAGCTTTCTGGCTCAACCGCAGTACAGGGCCTAACTTCAGTCCCTTAGCCAGGTGTGTGGGACCCTGTGCCACATGGCCCTCTGCTCCCCTGCGTGTGGTCAGCCTGTGCCACACACAAGCAGGTGACTTCTGGCGCCCCTCTTGGCCCTGGTGGTGATTCCCTCCTCTGTACTTTGGCCACGCTGTTCTTTGCATGCAATGCCAAAGCCACCCTCACTCTCTGTCTAAATTACATTTCCATCCTTCCATACTCAGTACAAAGAACTTGTCTTATTTCTCCTCTGTCTTTCCAGAGCAATCTCTCCATCCCTTGCATCCTCACTGGACTTAGTAGAAAATCCTCTGTGGTTATAATGTAGGCTGCCTTGGCTTTCCAGGGGGTTAGTTCCTTTATATAAGCATTCCCATAGCATCCTTTTGCAACCCTTCTACTACATTTCCAAGTTCTAATACTTTTATAATTAGTTAAGTATCCATGTCTGCTTCCCTCAACTAGAATGTTAGTTTCCTGCAGACGAGGACTGGGCTGTCTTGTCCTCAGTGTTTACCTGTGTGATATGGTTTGGCTCTGTGTCCCCACCCACATCTCAACTTGAACTGTACTCCCATAATTTCCACATGTTGTGGGAGGGACCTGGTAGAGATAATTAAATCATGGGGACAGTTTCCCCCATGCTGTTCTTGTGATACAGAATAAGTCTCATGAGATCTGATGGTTTTATCAGGGGTTTCCACTTTTGCATCTTCCTCACTGTTTGCCTGCTGCCATCCATGTAAGGCATTACTTGCTCCTCCTTGCCTTCTGCCATGATCATGAGGCTTCTCCAGCCATGGAACTTTAAGTCCAATTAAACCTCTTTCCTTTGTGAATTGCTCAATCTTGGGTATGTCTTTATCAGCAATGTGAAAATGAACTAATACACTATGTCTACTTCAGTGCCTGACACATAGTAGATATATGATGAAAATTCATTAAATAAGTCACCTAATGTCTTGCTCCTTCTCTTTAGACTCTAGGTTACTTGCAGGGGAATGGGCATATCTCTTTCATCCTGTATCACCTGCAGCATGTAGCTCTACATCTTGCTAATAGCAAAAACTCATTTTCTGCCTTGTAAAATGAATTACAATGAAAGCCTTGAGGGTCATTCCTCATCTGGTGTGAAGCAGAGGGTATCTCAGATAAAACATTGTACTAGAACAACTTCCCTCTCCTCATAGAGCTTCCGGGAGTTCCGTGGAACCACTTGAAGCTCCTCCAGTATCCCTGCTCTCTGACCTCATTGAAGAGCTCTTGGAGGTGAGGAGTCAGCACAGAGACCATTGTCAGTGCCACTCTGTCAAGAGCCTGTTTCTCAGAATCTTGCTAACTCTGATATTTCATATCTCATTCTCTGTCTTCTTGCCAAGAGCCACTATTTCTTTATGGTCACCACGTTCTCTCTGTTCCCTCCTTTAAAGCTTTCTCAACTGTGCTCCTCTACTTTGCTGTCTTCTGTGTTTAGCTTTGAAGGCTGAACTGTTCACATGCAGTTCTAGGATTTTTCTCCCCACCTGCAGCAATGCCCCCTTTCCCTGAGAGTTTTCACCCCTGCCTGCAGCCCGTGGCCTCTCTGGAGGCTATTCTGGGCTTTTCCAGCTGAGCTGCTGGAATCCCTCTGTTCTTCCTTTCTTCCCCTGGCACAATGCCACCTGCCATCCTTTCTGGGCATCTTCTTCCTGCTGTCAAAAAAAAAAAAAAAAAAAAAGAGAGCTACTTAGGTGAAGGCTGAGAGACTGACATAATAAAAATATTATTAGTTGCCCTGAGAGAGTATAATAAAGGGAGTTTTATGAGGTATGACAGATTTCTAAACTCAATGAACTATCTGGCATTACCTCAAACAGAGAAGGAGCTTGCCAAGAGTTCGCACTGCTGCCCAGCCCCATTTGGGCACAGTGGGATTGATCTTCGCCTCCTTACCTGGAGGCCACATTCGCTGTTTCTCCACTGGTATAGACAGTAACCTGGAATCATTTGGTAGTACAGACTCTGAGTCTGTTTCCTCTGCCCAGTGTCTCTATTTAGAACTTGATTATAATGCAAGAGTGTCCATTGTACCAACAAGGGTAGAAAGGGTCAACAGAAAGCATGAGCTTGGCTTTGAGCAGCCTGCTTTGGTAATGTATCCCAAGGCCACAGTACGAAAGTCAACAATACATTGGACAGAAGACACCTTAACTGGAAACCTCCTTTGACTTAGTGTAAGAGGACAAGACAGAGTCTCAGTGTGGATGTCTCACTCGTCAAACAGGGCCCAGCACATGCACCAGCCAGATGCCCTGTTCCACACAGTCAGCACCACTGCTGGTTTGGGGTCTTGACTAGAGGTTCAGCCTTGGCCCACAGTCACCCTGAGTAGGTCTGCCGGACTCAGCGATGGTCTCTGTTGGCCTCTCCTAGGTACACTCCTCCTGCCCCCAGTTTAAGGGGCATGACCCATGTGGCCGCATTTCAGGAGCACTAGGATGAAATCTAACCTGGGAGGCCAATTGTAAACAAGGGTTATTTAAGTAGCTTCACCAAGTATCATACTACCTGGTCGTATTATCTTCTCACAGGTTGGTGTGAATCTCAGAGGTAGCCATATAAGTAAATAATAGGCTAGCAATGATAGCAGTTAACCTCTGTTGAACTCCTATTATGTGGCAGGTACTAGGGGAAGTACTTGGCAGGGTAGCCTGCCTACTCACAGCAACCTTAGGTAGTAGATATTGGTATTCCCATTTTGCATATGAAAAAATTGAGTCTAAAGAGCTTAATCTGTCCAAGTCACATAGCTTGTAAGTGGCAGGGCTGGGATTTGAACTCATGCTGGTCTAAATCTAAAATGCCTCCTTATCTGAGGCGGGAGGATTGCTTGAAGCCAGAAGTTTGAGACCATCCTGGGCAACAAAGCAAAACCCCATCTCTACAAAAAATGTAAAAAAATAGCTGGGATTGGTAGTGCATGCCTGTAGTCCTAGCTACTTGGGGGCCTGAAGTGGGATGATTGCTTGAGCCCCAGAGTTCGAGGCTACAGGGAGCCATGATCTCACCACTGTACTCCAGCCTGAGTGACAGAGCAAGATGTCATTTCTAAAGGAAAATAATAAATACAAATAAAATAAAATAATAAAACCTGCTTTCTGTTCACCAATGAATCCTGTGAACATAGTATAAATGTCGCACCCTTGAGCAGCTATAAAATTCTGGGTTACAGGGATATTGTTAGATTTAAGAGATTATGGTGTGAGGTGCTAGGTCTGTTACCCTAAAAGATAATGCAAACAATGAATGCTTTCTTCCCATTTCAGTTTCTTCATTTATAAAATGTTTTTTGCATGTGCAACAAAGATACCCCTAATATTTGTAAAACAAATATTTTCAGTGAAGCTGCCTCTCGCTGCCACCACTACCATCGCTACCTATAAATGTTCCTGAGCAGTTGGAAGTTCTTTGCCTTATCTAACACATATATATTTTTTCAAAGACCCTAAATACTTTAGTGGTGGGAAACAGTAATCTACAACTGAAGATATTTGTTCAATCTGAAATTTTTGTTTGTTTGTTTGCAGAGAATGGCAAATCTGTTCATTGGAAGCTGGGAGCAGATAAGGAAGTCTGGGTCTGGGTGATGGGTGAACACCACCTAGATAAACCCTATGATGTGCTCTGTAATGAAATTATTGCTGAGAGGGCCCGGCTAAAAGAAGAACAGGAGGCAGAAGAGCTCAGGTATGAGATCCTCAAACCAACCAGAGGCTTAAAGACCTTTAAGAGACTTTAGAAAACATTGCAAACATGCCTCTTGCTCACAGTATCAGGTGGGAGAGTGGGGTTGGGTTGGAGGCTCACAAAAGTCATTTTGGATCCCTTCGGAAGGTTGATTTAGACTTTTGGTCTAAAGACCTCTTGGATCTCTTTACATGGATGATTTAGACTTTTGATCTAAAGTCTTTGATAGCACTAAAGACCTCAGGAAGTTCAAATCAGCTGCTTCGTTCCCCCACTTGTCATTCCAGCTTTGGTCTGTATGAGTGTGTGAGTTTCCCAGTGATCATCTGTGTCTGTACTAGAATCATGTTAGAGCAATGCAGGCCGATGCAGCTGAGTATCAGGAATATATGTGAGAAATGCAGTGACTGTGCAAGCTTCAGGCCTTCCAAGGAGATCACTTACATCCGGGCAGCTGGATAATCAGGGTTTTTAGGTGCATACACTGTGCAAGGCACTGGGAATTCAGAGGAACAGGAAACTTCCAGTCTAGGGGGAGAAGTAGGCAGATGCACTGCACCCAGTGCAGGCTGTGATTTGTGCTATAACTAAGGTATAAACAGAGCGTTTACCAAGCATAGGTGGGAACCTCTCATTCTGATTGGTGAAATCTGAACCAGACCTTGAAAGGAGTGGTTTTCCAGCTACAGAAGGCCAGGAAAGAAAGTGCAGGCAGAGCACTTTTTTTATTTATTTTTATTTTTTTAGAGTGCATTGTCAACAATAGAAAAAAATGTTTGCCAAATCCACAAGAAGCAACATAAACAGGTAGGTCAAAAAAAGTAAGATAATAGACAAAAATCAACTATGTAATTAATTACATTAAATATCAATAGATCAAATATTCCAAGTAAAAGACTAAGATGATTAAACTAGATAAAAACTACACATGGCTTTATAAAAGAGCACTTTACATATAATGACACAGAAAGATTGAAAGTAAAAGGATGGAAAAAATATACCACGAGAACACTAATAAAAATAAATCTGATTTAGCTATACTAGTGTTAGACAACAGATTTTCAGGCAAGCAGCACTACCAGAGATAAAGAGGGGTATTTTGTAAGAATAAAAGGAAAATGATAGAACTTTGAGAAATAAAGCTACAACCAGAGTGGAAGGTGTTAACACATCTCTTTGTAGCTGATGGACTAAACAGACAAGAAAATCATCAAGGATAGAAGATCCGAACAACACAATGAACCAAGTAGACATAGACCAAGACCCCTAGACTTGATTACAGATGGTTCTTGGGGGAATGACAAGGTATTCTGAGCATTTGGAATACACTTGGGAAACTGCTTTGAAGGCCAGATTTAGGAGTTTGGACCATGTTCTGTGGACAGTGAGGTTTTTCAATAGGGAAGTGACATCAACTGGAGTTGTAGGAAGATAACTTGGAGGGAAACTGAGGCAGGTGATGGTGCTCCTCTGCTGGGTACCTGGGGTGCTATGGGTGTCCTTCTCTGGGGAGTGGGTCTGGGCAGTGATGTTAACAGCCTTACTCTGAGATGGTGAAGTGGAAATTGGAACAGATATGAGGACCTCAGTACATTTCCCAAGGGCAAGGGATGCAAAGCAGGCTCTGTGGCACAATGGATGGTGCATTGGACTTTCAAGGTCTGGGAATGTTCCCCACTAGTGCCTGTAACTTTAAAACTATCAGTGGATTTATGAACATAAAGGAATTTTTTAATGATTGATCAGAAGGAGATGGTGTGTTCTAATAGGTTAACTTCTAAACCAGGAGTTGGGCAGACCCGGGTTCAGATCTTGGCTGTCTTACTAGGTGGTCTTGGATGAATTATAAAATTTCTTGGAGCTCCTATAACAAAATGAGGATGACAATGTCTTCCTCATAGCATTGTGTTAAGGATGAATTTAACGTCTTTACAGCACCTAGCACAGGGCCCAACATGTTAGAAGCACTTAGTAAGTGGTGTCTGTTGCTTTTTTTCCACATAATGTGAATGTCGACATCTGCTTTGGAAAAGCTCTTCCAGTTGAAGAATGTTTTTTGAGAATTTCACTTTTGCCTTTCTTCAGAAAATCTCACACTGAAGAATTCACCAACAGCTTGAAAATAAAATCACCGTACCATGATCTGCAGACTCTAGATAACCAGCAGACTAAGAACATCTGCAAGAAACTGGCAGAAAAGGAGGATTTGGGGCAAGGATCTAGTCCAGCACCAACTCTGGAAGAAGAGAAAATCCAAGTGAGTCCTTCCTATCTATAGATGTGTGGAATTTCATCATGGGGGAGGAAAAGCTATTGAGGCCACAAATGTGGCCGAGTGTCTGGATCCCACCCTGGCTGTCTTGGGAGAAATGCCTCCTAACTTTAAGATCCTCCTGCTCATTTCACTTTGGGGGATTTAGCCTCTCTGTTACTTCATGGAAAAATAAAGCACCCCTATTTCCTGAGACTGAAAGTACTAAGTGAGAATACTAGGAATGCAGTTTGGCATTTTTTTCTTTTTTTCTGAGATGGAGTTTCACTCTGTTGCCCAGGCTGGAGTGAGTGGTGCCATCTCAGCTCACCGCAACCTCCACCTCCTGAGTTCAAGCAGTTCTCGTGCCTCAGCCTCCTGAGTAGCTAGGATTATAGGTGTGCACCACCGTGACTGATTAATTTTTGTCTTTTTAATAGAGACGGGGTTTCACCATGTTGTCCAGGATGTTCTCGATCTCTTGACCTCGTGATCTGCCTCCCTTAGCCTCCCAAAGTGCTGGGATTATGCATGTGCCACTACGCCCAGCTGCCATTTGGCATTTTAAGATATTTTCAAGTTCTCCTCAATGCTGCCCCATTATATGTCTTCCGTTACAGCAGAGGTTGGCAAACATTTTCTGTAAAGCGCAAAGTAGTACATGGTTCAGGCTTTGTGAGCCATGAAGTCTTTGTCACAGCAATACACACATGAATGAGCATGGCTGTGTTCTAATAAAACTTTATTTATAAAGATAGGGAGAGGGGCAGATTTGGCCTGTTCATGATTTAGATTACGTTCTACTGAGTCTTTGCCTTTTTGTTGAGGACTCTAAACATCAGCCTGTTTGCCTTCAGTGGCTCTACCTGTGATTGTGGGGGTAGTTATTTCCCCAACATTACAGAAATCCTATACTCAGAACTGGTATGAATTCTCTTATGGTTCAGGTGGTTTAAAAAGCTCAAACATAATTTTCTGCTTGGATTATAGTTTGGGAGACCAATACAAACATGTTATGAAGTACCTTATTCTGCCAGGAATGTAATGACACTGGAATTAACCGGGATTTGCAGTCGTTTGATTTCTGTTCCTGTCTCCAGCCCTGCAGCACTAGCTGTGTGTGCTTTTGACTTCTTCAAGGCTGTCAGGTGGGGACACAGGTACCTCCTGCCTCCTTCTAGGGCCTACTGAGACTCTGAAAACTAACATGATCAGGGGTTAGTCCACAGCAAAGCACACTGCTGAGTGTCTCATGTAATCCTCACAATAACGTGAACTATAGACATTTTTCCACTTTACAGGTGGGGAAACTGAGGCTAGGTGTGGTTAAGCAACCTGCCCAAGGTCTTATTCAAACCCAAGTCTGCAGGACCCCCAAGCTACTCCTTAAATATTCACCGCTAACTTCTTAACTAGCAACTCTCATATTTGGTTGTGTCATTCATATGAGGGCTGTGAAGAAGCTTTTTATGAAAAGCTACAAATATGAGGCTCAAAATATTTAAGAAGAAAAAATTCTAAATTTGGTTTTCACCCCAGGGTCAGCCTGTGCCACCCATCCTCAATGAGGTCTCCATGCTTCCCCAGGTGTGGTTTGCACTCAGCATGTGTAATACCAAACTCCAACACAGGTCCCTTTCCAACACTCCTAAAACCAAGAAAAACAGCAACAACAAGAAAACTCCTTCCGGAGTATTAAGTATGCAGCTGAGTGTAGTTGTTCACAATTGTAATCTCAGTGCTTTGGAGGCCAAGGCAGGAGGATCACTTTTGAGGCCAGCAGTTCCAGACAAGCAAGCTTTGGCACAATCCTGTAGAGATGGTGAGACCTTGTTTCTACAAAAAATTAAAAAAAAATAGCCAAGGCTGGTGGGACATGTCTGTAGTTGTATCAACTCAGGAGACTGAGGCAGAAGGATGGCTTGAGCCCAGGAATTTGAGGCTGCAATAAGCCTTGATTACACCACTGTACTCTAGCCTCAGCAACTGAGTGAAACCCTGACTCTTGAAAAAACAGTATTAAGTATGTGTGCTTATCTTTGCACTTGAATTACAGTACTCTTTTGACATTTTTTTCAAAAGTAGGACAAAATATTGAAAATGGAAATTAAGATAGATACCACAGTTATTATTCTTTAACCAGCTCATAAATATAATAGGGAGAGTGGCACTGTTCCACTCCTTAGTGCCTGCTAAACTGTCATATGGAAAGAGATGGGGCAGGGGAGAAAGAAACATTTAGATACAAGGAATATGGAAATAAATGGATGACAGGCTTTTATATTTCTGCTTTTTATCTTTCCTGGTGTCAGCGAAGATGCTGTCAGGGTCTGCTGAGATATTTGCTCGAGTTCACTCTGACGGCAGGCTACACAGTGAGGCAGCTGATCTTCATAGCTAGTGTGAGTCTTTAAAGAGGTCGTCTGCTACCTCTTAGACAATTGACTTGATGGTACCTTTATATTTTATTGTAAGCTCTGTATATATCATTGTAGTGGCTTGAATATTTATCCCCCAAAATTCATGTCCACCTAGAACCTCAGAATGTGAGCTTATTTGGAAACAGATCTTTGCAGATATAATTAAAGGATCTCAAGATAAGATCACACCCTGGATTGAGTGGACTCTAAATCCCATGACAGGTATCTTTATAAGAGGAGAACCAAGGGAAATATGAGAGAGAGTGTACTATTCTGTTTTCATGCTGCTGATAAAGACATACCTGAGACTGGGCAATTTACAAAAGAAAGACGTTTAATAGACTTATAGGTCCACGTGGCTGGAGAGGCCTCACAATCATGGCGGAAGGTGAAAGGCACATCTCAAATGGCAGCAGACAAGAGAAGAGAGCTTGTGCAGTGAAACTCCCATTTTTAAAACCATCAGATCTTGTGACACCCACCCACTATCACAAGAACACCATGACACCTGCCCCATGATTCAACCACCTCCCACCAGCTTCCTCCTAAGATGAGATTTGAGTGGGGACACAGCCAAACCATATCAGACAGAAACACAGGGAAGAAGGCCAAGTAAAGAGAGAGGCAGAAAGCAGAGTATGCTACCACAAGATGGGGGCCATCAGAAGCCGGAAGAGGGAGCACAGCCCTACCCCAGCCTTGATTTCTGATTGTGGCCTCCAGAACTGTGAGGGAGTAAATATCTGTTGTTTTAAGCCACCAAGTTTATGCCATTCATGGCAGCAGCCTTGGGTACTGAATGCAGTTCACTACCATAGGCTTTGTCAGAAATGTTTCATTATGCTACCCTAATTATTAAATAATTATTAAAATGGAGACACAACCAGACTGACACACTATCTGGAAAACCAGAAATAATTTGAGTCCTGCATCCTTCACCTCCTTGTGCTGTAGCTTTTAGCTCTTGAGTTTCTCTCTCTATAAAAAGGGGATAAACAATCTGTCTGTTAGGCAGAATAATGGCAAAAATATCCACACTTAGATCTCAACCAGTCCTCCTGCCTTAGCCTCTCTAGTAGCTGGCACTAGAGGTGTAGCCACCACCCCCAGCCGATTTTAACCATATTTTTGTAGTGATGAGGTCTCGCTGTGTGGCCGAGGCTGGTCTTAAACTCCTGGCTTCATGTAATTCTCCCACCTCAGCTGCCCAAAGTGTTGGGTTTACAGGCATAAGCCACTGCGCCTGGCCCCTATGCATTTTTCTCAACTTAAATATGGAGACACGCGTTACTTTACGTGGAACAGGGGACTCTGCCCCTGGGACTGAGGTTAAGGATCTTGAGATGGAAGATTATCTTTGTTTTTCCAGGCAGGCTCAGCCTAATCCCATGAGTCCTTAAAGCAGAGACTCTTTCCTGGTTGAGGTCAGAGGCATGTGATATTCCTGGCTTTCATGATGGAGGAAGAGACATGTGTGAAGCAAGCAATGCAGGCAGCTTTTAGGAGCTGGAAGAGGCAAGGAATTACATTCTCCTTGAGTCTGTGGAAGACATGCAGCTCTGTTGACACCTTGATGTTGGCCCAGGGTTGGCCAAAATGGACCATAATTTGTGTCATTCAAAAGTACTGAGTTTATTATAATTTGTTATAGCAGCAATGGAAAACCAATACAATCTGGTAGGATTTTTGTGATGAGTAAGTGAGACATTATATTAGTCAGAGCTCTCTAGAGGACAGGACTAATAGGATAGATGCTTATATGAAGGGGAGTTTATTAAGGAGTATTGACTCACACTGTCACAAGGTGAAGGCCCACAATAGATCATCTGCAAACCGAGGAGCAAGGAAGCCAGTCTGAGTTCCAAAACTTCAGAACTAGGGAGGCCGACAGTGCAGCCTTCAGTCTGTGGCTAAAGGCCTGAGAGTCCTTGGCAAACCACTAGTGTAATAAGTCCAAGCTTCCAAAAGCTGAAAATTTGGAGTCTGATGTTTGAGGTCAGGAAGCCTCCAGCACAGGAGAGAGATGGAGGCTGGAAGACTCATCCAGTCTAGTCCTTCCACGTTCTTCTGCCAGCTTTTGTCCTACCTGCGCTTGCAGCTGATTAGATGGTGCCTACCCAGATTGAGGGTGGGTCTGGCTTTCCCAGTCCACTGACTCAAATATTAATCTCCTTTGGCAACACCCTCACAGACATACCCAGGAACAATGCTTTGCATCCTTCAATCCAATGAAGTTGACACTCAGTATTAACCATCACAGGTATTAAATACAGAGCACTAATTTCCATGCCTCCAAACTTACATCAGCTATTTAGTTAGCTCACTTTCCTCTTCCCTATGAATTTTGTTTTTTTTCTTTTTGAGGCAGGGTCTCACTCTCACCCAGGCTGGAGTGTAGTGGTGCAATTGTAGCTCACTGCAGCCTTGAACTCCCGGGCTCAAGCAATCCTCCTGCCTCAGCCTCTCTAGTAGCTGGGACTGCAGGTTCAGCCGCCACCCCCAGCTGATTTTAACAATTTTTTTTTTTTGCAGTGATGGGGTCCTGATGTGTTGCCCAGGCTGGTCTTAAACTCCTGGCCTCAAATG